GCTTCTCCCTTTCAGCCGAAGCAGCTTCCAGACAAGTGGCAACACGACCTCTTGGATAACGGCTTTGGAGGTGGTGCCGGTGTGCAGACGGGTGGGAAGCTGCTGGTGTCAAATCTGGATTTTGGAGTGTCCCCCAATTGATTTTTGACAAACACTCAAAAGTAACTAAATGGCAGCAAGACAGATTTTTCAACAAATGATGCTAGAATACATCCACAAGGAAAAAAAGATGAATCTTAACCTTAACTGTACATTTTATATAAAACTTTACTCAAGGTGGATCACAAATTTAAATGTAAAATGTCAAACTAGGAAACTTTCAGGAAAAACATCAGAGAAATCCCTTTTTAACTTTTCATTGTGAACTGGGTGGATATATGCAGAGCAGAGCAGTTTTCCACTCAACAATTCATACAAATTTTGTTTCATTTCATGGATTGTAATCCCCACTATGTAACACCATTTATTCCACCTCCTCCTTGTATTTTCTGTCTCCTTTCCTCTTTCTTTCCTCACCCTTCTGAATTTTGTTCTTTTGGAAATGCTGTCCTTTTGATGGCAAATAGTTTCATTATTCTAAAGTATGTGCATATCTTTCTAGTGTTATTGTTCCCCTTATAGATCTCTCTATTCTTTTACGTGTGGCACTGCAGAATAAGCACTGGACTAGGAACCACAGGGTTGGCAGTTCAAATTCACCAACAGCTCCTTGGAAACGCTATACAGGATCCCTATGAGTACGAACTACCTCAAAGGCACTTAACAACAACAACATCCTTTAACTGATCATTGAGCCATGGGGGTGAGTTCTTTTCCAGTCCTGAAGATTTGACTAAAGTTCATAAGATCATAGTCTCGGAAATTCCACCGTCTCTATCCAAACCAGCAAGCCTGAAAGAAACATTTTTGATGGTTATCAAAGGAATGGAAGATAAGTTACTTTATCTTACCACATGTTAAGGTAGATGTGTTAACATGGGTGAAGGGGAAGGCAATATACAACAAGGAAGGTTGGCAAAAAAATGATGGAGGCAGGGCAAGACACTGGAAGGAGTTAAAGTCAACAGAGGCAAATACTGCTGCCCAATCCTGCAGTAATGGTAAGCTACAAGTAGATGCAAGGATAGACATGCTTGCTAAACAGATGTGGGACAGAGAGTGGGAGTAGACCCAGCAATATACATACCTTTGACAGAGGGTATTTGTATTTGCTGCAAATATATCCATGATTGTGGTAAAGTTCTGAAAACTTCGATATAACCCAACTCTCTGGGCCTGGGGGGCTCAGGACCATTGCCTTAGGGGACACCAAGGTCAGTTAGCATTACATAGTCCACACGGATGATGTTCTATATTCTACCTTGGTGAGCAGTAATTGGGATCTTAAAAGCTAGTGAGCAGCTATCTAAGGTGCTCTGTCTAGAGGAGAGAAGAGTGATGAAAATAAGCAGAGTTACATTAATTGAAGAGTTCTTGACATGTAAGCAAAGAATTCTTGATTACAAAACCACAACCCCCCAAATTTGTTGTTTAGTGCTATAGATTCAGTTCTGACTCATAGCAACCCTGTATGGGGTTTCCGAGGGGCAGATGTAAGCTTGAACCACCAACCAAGCAGTTCAAACCAACCTTGCAGTCCAGTGCACTAACCCACAGCACCACATCAGGACCCTAAAAATTAAAACATGTTAAACTGGACTTCATCAAATTCAAGCCCTTATGTTCTGTGAAATTCCATGTGAAGAGGGTGAGAAGACTGAAAGAAAATACTTGCAAACCATACATCTGATAAATGACTAATATCTGGAATATATACAACTCTCAAATCTCAACAATTAAAAAATAATCTAATTAGCACTGTGAATTACTTAATATGGATATTCCACCAAGAAACTGGGTTTTGTTGTGTTAAGTGTCATTGAGTCAGTTCTGATTCATAGCGATGCTACACAGTGTTTTTGAGGAGAGGCTGGTGGTTCAAATCAACCTTGTGGTTTAGCGCGTTAACCCAAAGTGCCACACCAGGGCTCCAAATAACTGGGTTGTTGTTGTTATTAAGTGCCGTTGAGTCAGTTCTGACCCATAGTGACCCTGTATAGGGTTTCCAAGGAGCGACTGGTGAGCTTGAACCACCAACCTTGTAGTTCATATGGCTTTGCAGTCTGGCACATTAACCTACAGCGCCACCCCAGGGCTCCAAATAACTGGGTGTTGTCGTTGTTGTTAGGTGCCATCGAGTCGGTACCAACCCATAGCGACCTTATGCACAGCAGAGCGAAACACTGCCGGATCCTGAGCCAACCTCACTACTGTTGCCACGCTGCAAGACTATACAAACATAAAGTACTTGTAGCCCATCAAGGGAACTGCTACTAATATAAGGCACATGACACCCTTGTGTGGTATGAACTTGCAGATATGGAACCATACTGAGGGGAATGTAAGTTTTGCCACCCTGCTAGATTTCAAAGGAGCCATCCCACAGAAAGAAAGTAGGATTTCACGGCCATCAAGAAAGATGAGTCAGGAGTGGAGCACATCCTTGGGGCCTGAGATCTCTGTGCTGGACCTTCTTGGTTCAAGAGAAGAGATCTCTCATCAGAGACAGAAAAAAGGTAATAAGCAGTGGCATAGAAACGGTGACAGTAGAGGAAGCAGAACCAAGAATGCAACACTGAGCAGTGGGCTTCCTGCCCAAGAAGCAGAAAAGCAGAGGGCAAGGAGCTTGCTGTTAAAGTGTGCCACCCCTGAGAACTTGAGAATTCATTGGCAGAGTTAAAAGAGTTTTGTAACACTTTCCCAAGCAGGGCAGGGGCCAAGGGTCTGTAGGCTTCAGCATGCTTGTGGGCACTGCTGAAAAGAGGCTGCCCTAATTAAAGAACTACTTAACAACAACAACTTCCTGAGCAAATGTGATCCTGAATTTGTAATGTGTTACTTCCTCAGTAAATTCCATATCTGTAAGTACTCTCTTTGTAGCTATTTCAATGAAATATTGAACCCAAAAGAAAAGCAGAGAGTGCCTTGAAAAGGACAGTTGGTATCAGAATTGGTAAAAATGGAGAGTGGAGATATGTCTGACCTTTTGACCTTTGCCGTATTGGAATTGGCTTTGGGTTGTTTTGGGTTTTTTCTTATTTTCCTTCCCCCTTCTGAAGTTAGAAAAAGTCAGAGACTGCCGCCAGGCTATTTTTGAATGTGAAGATAGTCATAAAGAGTGGAGAAGAGAAGACTGATTTAAAAGACTTATGTATTTAGGGTTAGGGTCTTACCTGAATGTACTGTGGATGTACAATGTATCTTCTACCTAGTATTGGTTGTTCTTGTTAAGTGCTGTCAAGTTGACTTCAACTCATATCGAACTTATATAATGTTTCAAGGTGAGTTTGAACCACCAACCTCATGTTTAGCAGTCCAGTGCTTAAAAAGGATTTAGGATTTGCTTGGAAGAAACAAGGTTTTTGGTTTTGGGGTTTTTTTCCTAATGCTAGTCCCATATAGAGTATTGGCTTAGGTCAACAACCAGTGCCCCACCCAGGAAATTTACATTGGAAAGAGGCAGATCTACTCAGTAATGCAGAGAGAACATGAAATTTACATTTGAATGGAAACAAAATTACTGTTTGACTTTTTGAATTTCAAGGAGTTTGCCACTGAACCCATCAAGGCAGCAAAAGATAGTAGTTCTTAAGTGCCTTTGAGTGGATTCCGACCCATAGTGACCCTGTATAGGGTTTCCAAGGAGCAGCTGGTGAGCTTAGTACACATTAGAAAATCCCCATTCTAGGACTGATACTTGCAGGAGTCCTGGTATAACAGTATAGGATAAAGCACTGGACTGTTAACCACAAGGTCAGTGGTTCAAACCCACCAGGTGTTCCTCAGAAAACCTATACAGAGTTACTGCGAATCAGAACTGAATCAATAAATAGTACTTAATTAACAACAAGGAAGTTAC